CGTAATAAAAAGCCTGTTTTTGGAATCGTATAATTTATTCCCGTTTATAATACCGCCTTTTTAGTAATATAGTTGGCCGGATATAATATTTAGCAGAAATTCCGGTACGTAAAGCACGTTTAATAACGTTATTTTACGTATTTTCCGGTTGATTTCGAAAAAAAGCGTAATATTTCCAATTCTTTTTGGAAATACTTTTCTATTATTTATAATAATCGGTAAAAAATCCGATTTTATAGTAAAATTATCGAATAAATTTTTATTATTCGATATGTGCTTTAAGGAATTAGTATCGTATAATTATTAGTTTTTGGGAACGGAGGTTAATTTTTTTTTCGATTTATTCGAAATATTCTAAAAAGCATAGAACGATTCGTTTTCGTCCGAATTTTTGTTATAGGGTAAATTTCCCCGTTTTTTAGATTTCTGGTTCGTGGTGGATGTGGTCGAATTTGAGTTATTCGATTTATTCGAATTATTCGAATTATTCGATTTTTTCGATTTATTCGATTTATTCGAATTCTTTTTATTTCCGCTTTGGGTTCCCCGTTGATTTTAATTGGATCGGGGAAACCGGGATTTCTTATTATCCGTATAATAAGAGTTTCTTATGGCCGTATTAGGGTCCCGTCGGTTCTTATCTAATATATCCGTAATTAACCCTTCGAGGGTAGGTGGATTTAAGGACCGTAAAGTATTGCGTTAACGGTTAGCCTATATAGGGTAAGCTGATTGGAGGGCTATAATAAAAATCGTTTTTTAATCGATATTATCGATTTTAGCCTTAACGCTTAAAAGCTTTAAAATATATCTTTTAAAAATGGATATAAACTCGTTTAACGAGTTATAATTCTCGAATTTTATAGTGTGAAATTCGAGATATAGTTATTAACGTAATACGGGATTAGTGCCTTAATAAGCTAATTATAAAGTGGATAAGGCCTTATATAGATTTATTTTATCGAAAATTAGATTTAACGGTTTTGTTGTTAAATTTTGACGAATTAAAAGCAATATTTATGCTTTTTAAATATCGGTTATACCGTTATATATATCGGTAGTTTTAAAAAACCGATCGATTTTTAGTAGTTTAAAATATAATTGTAACGTGGATTTCTACGTATTCCAGTTTCCGGATCCGGAGAATTTCTGTTTTTCCGGCATTTGGCATCCGGCAATAGTACGGATAGAGTTATCTATTTTGCCGAATTTTTGCCGTTATAACGGTATAATTATTGTTGAAAACGGTAAAGGAATCGTTAAGAAAAATAAAAATAAAAGAAATTAATTCTTTTATTTTATCGATAAAGTATATAATGGGATCTAGGTGCTATAATATGATATAGTAGGTGCTATAGGGTGCTATAGCAGATCGGTTATTATAGTAGGGATTAGTTATAAGTGACTTTATAGCCGTTATATAGCTATAACGGGTAAAATTATTATAATTAGCCATTTAACTATAGTTTTCGATATAGTTACGGCTTATATAGGCTTATATATAGGCTTATAAAGGATCGGCTATTATAACGGAATTTTAGAGTTTACGTTAAATTAATTCGTTTAGGAGAGCGGCTATAGTTTTCGATATAAAGTCCGGTTCCTAATATAATCGATATTATACCGGACCGGGCTTATAACCTGTTTTAAAATATAATTAGTAAATTATAAACTTAGGTATAGGGAAGCGTTCGTATGATTTGTAGAATTAGGCCGTAGGAGTAGTTATAAGGCTATATAACTGATTTATTAAAGCTTAAGGAAAGAATAACTAATTATAGAGGAATAATTACCTTTTATACCTATAAAATTAATTAATAAGAATATTTTAGAATATATTACTAATAAACTAGATTTATAATTAAATTAATTAATAATAAGGTTGATTTATAATCGAAGAAACTATTGAAATTTATGGATTTTTATGGTGTGGGTTACTTTATAACCTTGGGACCACTATGGCTAAGTGTATTAGCTATATTTAGTGGGGCTGGATCTAGTGGAATATTCTACTGGATTCCAGTGGGTTCTAGTGGCTATAGTGGCCACAATAGTTAATTGTAATGATTTATTGACTGTATAGCACTGTGAACAGTGGCTGTAAGTGGTGTTGTACTGACTGTAGGTTAGTATAGGGTAAGTTCCACTGATTTCCCATATATCGTTATTTAACGATATCTCGATGGGTTTTATAGCTGTTATAACGATATGATATGCGTTATAAAGCTAATTTTATGCA